GGGGGTAGACAGACGGAGAGGTGGATGAATGGACGGATGAATAGATGGGTGGGTAGACAGATGGACGAGGAAGAGCTGTCTAGTCTTCATCCCCCATTCTTATGCGCCTGCTGTGCTTCATGTGTAGTGCAAAGGGCTTTGCTGACTGTGACCCTAATAATGGAGGTCTCCTCTTAACCGTGTGGAGACCTGTGAGCTGAACAGAATTGAAGTGAATAGGCTGATGGGCAAATGGCTTTGGGATCTCTTTGGAAATTGTCCCTTCTGTGGCCTTCCCACAGTCACACTTTCTTCCACTAGCTCTGAAAATCTGTATAGTTATGACAGCCTCCTCCAATAGCATCAGAAGTGGGGGCTGGGCATCTCACCTTCCCTGTGGGGTCTTAAGGCAGCCCCTGGGGAGGATGGGGGAGGTGAAGGCTTTGCTCCTCCTGATCGGGTGGGAAAATCTCTGCCTCTAACTCAGCATAGTTACTGTATGGAGTCAGCCACTGGCAGGACCCACATAGGGTGCCAGGCATAAAGGAATTGCTGCTGTGGCTGCTTGTGACAGCACATGATTTGAGGGCTGACTGCGTGCCAGCTGGTGGTCGCAGTATGGCCCTCATGACCCGCCTACCGTCCGAGGCAGCTACTACTATCACTCCCATTTTAAAGATCTGGACACCGAGGTTCAGGGAGCTAAAGAAACTTGCCAGCTAGAAAGCACTGGAGTAGGGATTGGTCCAGGGTCTGGGCTCTTAACCGTTGCATGGTGCCCAGGAACCTACAGCAAGGATGATGTCGGGAATTCCACGGCTGAATTGGGGGGCTGGAGATGGAGTAAGGCCAGATCCCCCAAATCACCATACAGGCCTTCTCCCCTCCAGCTGTTCATTATGGGATGTGGGCTGTTACCATCATGGGGTGGAATTGGCTGGGAATGGAGAAGTCAACAGCGGGTTGAGGGGACATCCATAGATCCTCGAGGTAAGTTCTCTCTGGATCAGGCTTGGGGTGCCACCTGGCTGGCTCCTCAGGGGGCACCTCGATGTCTGCAGTAGGATTCGTCTCTCTCCTGGGGGTGGAGACTCTGGCCCCAGGGAATAGATACCTTCCCCCCTCCCACCACCTGCCCCCAGAAACTGAGGCCCAGGGAGGTGGAGTCAGGTGTCCCAAGCCACGCTAGTGGAGGCGACAGAGGTGGGATTCCGACCCAGTGGACCTTGTCCACACCTGGTGCGCCTGGCTGCTTCACTGGGTGGGGGATATGCGCCAGCCATGGTGCCCCTTGGCCTGTACCTTCTCCGGGTGGAAGAGGATATTCCCGAGGCCCTGCAGGCTGGACACACGGACCTCGGGGCTGGAGTCCCTGAGCCCTTGCACCAGCACGGTCAGGGCGGCCTGCTTGGGAAGCACCTCCAGCAGGGCAGGGCTGTAGAGGAACTGGGGTGGCCCCGAGGAGGGTAGGCAGGTCAGGCCCAGCACCGTCTCTTGGGGAGCCTGCCTCCAAATCTGGGGTGGTGGCTCCAGGACCAGGGTCTGGCTGGGGGTCTCAGGGAGGGCCCTGGGTACCTTGGTTAACAAGTATTTAAAGGCTACCTGATTTAACCCTTCAATGTACGGCTGGGGAAACTGAGGCTGAGAGAGAGGAAGGGACTTGCCTGAGGTCACAGGGCACCAGGGTCTAGAGCCCCCACGGAGGGTGGCCCAGACAATCCTGCCAGTGGGGTGGGAGCCTCACGAGGTTTGACTTGGGTTCCCCTGCTGGAGTCAGTTGTGGAAATGGCGCGCCCACCCCCAAACTGCCACCGCCCAGCGCTCACAGGTGCAGAGCTGGCCACACCCAGTGCTTGTCCGGTTCTAACCATTCCCTTTCAGCTTGACAGGGGACCCCTGAGCCACACAAGGGCGGTACAGGATGAAATTTGAGCCTGGACCCGCCTGAGTCTACACACTGTGCCCCTTCAACCCTGCAGGGGCCATGCCAGGGAGGGAAGAGTGGAGACGCAGGTCCCCCAAGGCTGCAGGCTGAGGGGGGCCTGAGAGGTGGGGTACCCAGCAAGGAGCCCCAGATGGCCGACACCCCCACAGGGCCAGAAGCAGGAAGCGGGGTGGTCTGCCTGGGCGGCCTCCCCTAGTCAGGGTAGGACCGATGTGAGGAGGCTGGAGGCTGGGGCTCAGGCTGGCTGAGGGTCCCCCACTCTGCCTGTGGCTGCGCCCGTACCTCAGTGAGGATGAGGATGGCTGCCTTCCTCTCCCGCTCCTGTGGGCTCTGCAGGCTGGGCAGCAGCCGGCTGAGCACCGCCTCCATCTGCCTGCAGTGGTTCTGCACCATGGCCCTGGGGGGCAGGGCTGAGCTCGCCATCACTGCCCGGAGTCCACTTTCCTGTCGCCACCCAACCCAGCTGGAGCCGGGTGGCCAGGAGGGCCCGATGTGGCAGGCACATGTCTCCTGAGCCTGTTCCTGCTCCCTCCACACCCACAGGCTACCCACTTGTGCCAGGCTTGGGCTGGACATGGGGGAGACAGAGAGGCACAGCCCTGGTCCCCAGGAGGTCTCGGGCCAGGGTGGGGCTCTGAGTGCATGTGCCTGTGCCCAGTGCAGGAGGCTTACACCTTCACATGCCTGAGAGCTACCATGTGCACGTGTGTGAATCCATGGGGTCCTCCTCACAGGCAGGCCCTGGGGGGCTGCGAGTGGCTCTGGAGGCCTGCGGCCCCATCACTGTGGTCCGTACACCCAGCCCCGTGGATGGGTGGTGGCCTGAGCAGGCCCCCCCAACACTGTACCTGGCAAGGAGACCCACGCCCTGCGGGTAGGTGTGCATGCTGGTGAAGAGCTCCCAGGCACCCTGAAGCTCCAGGTGGGCAAACTCGTGCCAGTGCCCCGTGGTGGACAGCAGGCTCTTCAGTGCCTCCAGTGATGTGCTATGGCCAAGCAGACCACAGGTGGTCACCTGGGCCACCCTGCCCCTGGAAAGAGCCCCGCCGCCCCAGACAGAAAGGTGCATCTGGTGCCTGTCTTGGTTCCGGTGCCTGGCATCATCGAGGCCTCCCGGGGCCTGCTCTTTCCTGCCCTGTGTAATGTCAAGGCCTAGGATATGGCGGGGGCTGTGCAGCCATGGGAGGAACGTGAGCCCATCAGACTCCGGGCCTCGTCTGGGCGAGAGGCTGGAGGATGCCCTTCCAGGGAGGGGGAGAGACCAGGCTTTAAGGCAGAGCTCACTATTGGTTTGGCACATGGCGATTGTGAGGTGCCTTTGGAGCACCTTAGAGGGGACAGCGATTGCGCCCACGGCTGGATATACAGGGCTGGAGCTCAGGACAGGCTGGAGAGAGAGTTGCGGAGCTATCTGGGGGTCTGTGGTTTCCCATGTCACAGGGTGGAGAGGGTCCAGGCTGAGCCTTGAGGGACGGTGACATTTAAATATGGGTGAAGAATACTGAGGGTAGCATCTGGGGAGGGAGGAGGAGCTGGCGGAATGGGGCATCATGGAAGCCCAGAGAAGAGTCCACTCGCCACTCCTGAGACCCCTCTGCCCTCAGAGGACATGGAGAAACCAGGCTGCACGGCCCATGCGTGTGTGCTGAGAAAGAACGGCAGACACGGTGTGTGGTGTAACCGTAGCTTGGCAGCTACTGGGTGCCTGCAAGGGGGCTCGCCTGCACCATCTCAGGTGTCCATTTATTGTCACCCTCCTTCAATAGAGAAGGAAGCAGTCCAGAGAGGTGACTGTCCTGTCTGGATCACACAGCCTGGCCAAGAGTGGCAGAAGTGGAGTCAAGCCAGACCCCTGGTTCCAAACCTGCACAACGACGTCACTGTCACAGGTACAGGGCTGCCCCAGGCTCTAAGTGTGGTCCCAGGACACAGGTAGAGCACCTGGGAATGAGGCCTGGGGCCTGGCCAAGAGTGGCAGAAGTGGAGTCAAGCCAGACCCCTGGTTCCAAACCTGCACAACGATGTCACTGTCACAGGTACAGGGCTGCCCCAGGCTCTAAGTGTGGTCCCAGGACACAGGTAGAGCACCTGGGAATGAGGCCTGGGAAAAGCAAGGTGGCCCTGGCTTGCTGGCCCTCTCACCGTTCCTGGCCATCCCTTGCCTGGTCGCTGTGAGTGCCTCGCCCAGATGTGCGAGCCTGCCCCGCCCGGCATGAGGCTGTCAGCTCGGACCAGGCACGTTTCTGAGCAGATCTGCAGAACTGGCATCAAAGGATGAAATGCCATTCCCTGAAAGTCCCTGATGGTGCCAATCCAAATGCCAGCTGGCTTGTCATCTCGCCCCAAGCTGTGTCAAGAAAGAGGCAGCGTTTTCCAGGTCACTGGTCTAGCTACAGAAGGGGACTCGGGGGGCAGTGCTGTTCTGTTTGCTCTGCGAGGACTCCAGGAGCGTCTGGTCCTGTGGCACCTCTGGCTTCATTGAGATTGCCCGTCCTCATGATAGCCTCGTCACTGCAGCCACACCAGGGCATTTGGAAAGATGGCGTTTGGCTCCTGGGGTGATCACACCCCCCTGCAGAGCCCTAAAACCTAAAACTTGAAACCACCCCCAGCCCAGACCCCCAGCAAGGCCCAGGGACACATGCCAGAAATCCACAGGCAGCCCTGAGACTGATGATGACGGAGACCCTGGAGTCTGTGCCCTGTCATGGCAGGACCGTCTTCTGCTCTTCCTGGTCCCAAGGCTATGGCCTTCCTTCAGCCTTCCAGCAATGGCTGCCCTGTGCCCACCAAATCCCCTTTCCTTGCTCTGGCCGCAGAGAGGGCAAAGCTTCCTCAGAAAGAGGCCGGCCAGACCCCAGCCTCACACCCCCCAGCCCAGCGGGTCCACAAAGTCTCCCTCCCCTCCCCCACTATTGCCTCCTCCTTCCGGTTTTACTTTTATTTTTAATTGTAAAATATACGACACATAAAATTTGCCATTTTAACATTTTAAAGTGTACAGTTCAGTGGCGTTAAGCACATTCAGTGTTGTGCAGCCATCACCCCCGTCGGTCTCCAGAACTTTCTCATCTTCCCAGACTAAAAGTCTGTCCCCATTAAACACCAGCTCCCCGTCCTCTCCCCCAGCCCCCAACAAGCACCATCCCGCTTCCTGTCCCTGTGGATGTGACTCCCACAGGGACTGCACACAGGTGGACTCCTACAGCATTTGTCCTCCTGTGATGGGCTTATTCCACTGAGCACAGTGTCCTCAAAATTCATCCACGTTGTAGCAGGTGTCGGAATTTCCTTCCTTTTTAAAGCTGAATCGTATTCCGTCGCAGGGATGGACCACACTGGTGTTTGCGTTCACCGTCGAGGGACATGTGGGTGGCTTCCCCTGTGGCTGTGGTGAATAGTGCTGCGGTGGACACGGGCGTGCAGTAGCTCTTCGGGACCTGCTTTCAGTCCTTCTGGTGTATAGCTGGGGGTGGGATTGCGGGTCACACGCAATTGGGTGTTTAATTTTCTGAGGAAGCTCCAGACCGTTCTGCACAGTAGCTGCACCGTCTCGCGTGCCCGCCAACAGTGCACAAAGGTCCCAGTCGCTCTTCATCCCTGTCAACATTTGTTATTTTCCAGGGGTGTGAGGCTCCTTCTCTTCCTTCTATCACAGGCCTTTGTCCCCTTGGCCCGGGAGACAGAGGCAAACATTGAGGACGAGAAGAGGGTGAGGACAGGGAGTGTCTTTGAACTAAAGAGAAATGAGGTGCCCCATGAAAATTAAGTGGATGAGAAGAGAGGAGTGGGAGGTCCTTTGAGGAAGACCCCACTGAGAACTGACCCGTGCAGCCAAAGTCTAAAGAAAGGGGCTTCAATAGTCAGGGGAGGAGAGGAAAGGAAAGGACCTGTCTCCAGCCCTCCCAGGGGAGGCTGCCCCGTCCAGACCCCACTCACTGGTCCCAGGGGCCAGCCCAGCTGCACAGAATCCTTGGAGGCCCAGGACTAGTTTCAAGACTCGCCTGGCTGCCACCCAGTGTCCTGTGCCAGCCCCAGCCTGCTGGGGCACCCACGGAGACAGCAGGCTACTCAGCAGTGGGTGGCCAGATCCCTCTCTGCCCCTCTGTTCCCCCTTGATGGTGCCACTTCGGCCTAGCCCATGGCATCAGACCCTGGACCACCGTGATACACCTGGGTGATGCTGCCCTCTGGGGCCCTGGGGAGTGGCTGCCAGCCTCCCCACTGTCCTGACAGCTTGCCCATATGGCTTGTCAGTGTGGCTGCTGTTTGGTCTGACCCGAGCCTGGGCCCCTTTGGGGTGGCACCAGGTACCAGCCCTGTAGTTTTCCTCCAGGAAAGGCAGGCCCAGGCCCCATGCTGGCTGGACAGAGGCGTGGGGGCCAGGCCTGGCCAATCAGAGCCTCACGTGCCCCTGTGGCCAGGGTGATTGGTTCAGGGTGGGCATGTGACCCAAACTGGGCCAATCAGAGCCAATGGACTGTGCCCAAGGTGAGAGTTTCTCATCTCCCAGCTGTTGGGGCCACCTCCGTTGTGGAGAGAACTGAGGCGTCGGGGTGAGAGCCTAGAGGTGGGGGGATGAGACTGCCACAGTTTGACACAGCCATCCAGCTGGACCTGAGCAGAAGGCCACCCCAGGGCCTGAGAGGGAGAGACAGACAGACACCTGCTGTGAGGGGGAGCCCCAGAGAGACAGACATTCTTGCTGTGTGGGGTAGCCCCAAGTGAGACGGACAGACGTCCCTGCTCCCCAGAACCTTGCATTCGGTGGGGTGGGCAGTAAACCAGGTAAAAGGCACAGGTAACAGATTTTGGATGGTGGTGGCGCTGTGGGAGAGTGACGCAGGGAGCGGGCGGGAGGCAGGTGGGGGCTGCTATTTAGAGAGGGAGGCTGGGGAGGCCTCGGTGCAGGGACAGGTGAGCAGAGAGTGCAGGAGCGGGTGTCTGGGGCTTCAGGGCATTGCAGGAGGGAGGGGAGCAGGCGCATCATTGCTCGCTGCTTTCTTCCAGCCCTCCCGTGTTCTGGAGGAGAGCATTTTATTAGCTAATTAGGGAAGATTCATGCATTTTGCTGGTTGACCTGAATAAAAAGGAACTTTATACACATTCGGATTCAGAGGCAATATGGGAAGAAGTGTCGTTTTCTCAGTGACGTGCCTGGGGGAGAGTTGTTAAAGCTGAGGAACTGCGTGGGGCACGTCATGATACAGACAAATGAAAACAGTTGCCCCAGTGGGTTTTCAAGACTTGCTTATTGACTTTTGGAAATACGACCTAGTGTAAAGGGCAGACGAAGGCAGCTGCCTTGCTGCAGCCCGGGTCTGGCAGGTGGGGCGTGGTGGCGGCTCCCACTCGGGTCTGTCCACCCTCGGCAGCCAGGGCTGGGCAGCCATCCGTGATGGCAGTATAAAAAACATGCCAGGGTGCAGTGACATGCCCAAGGGGACCCAGAAGGGTGTCTGCCTCCAGGGACTTTATGCACAATGGTCAGGTGGCCCTTGCTGTCTAGCTCAGCTCCATATGGACATGCTGTGTGGAAAAAACATGCCAGGGTGCAGTGACATGCCCAAGGGGACCCAGAAGGGTGTCTGCCTCCAGGAACTTTATGCACAATGGTCAGGTGGCCCTTGCTGTCTAGCTCAGCTCCATATGGACATGCTGTGTGCTTCAGGGAAGCCTCTGACCCTCTCTGAGCCTCAGTTGCCTCATCTGTAAAATGGGGAAGATGACATTCATCTCCAGAACCCCTGCAAGGAGTGTACTGGGTAAGATGTGGTAGCGTGCTATGTGGGTACTTGATGGGTGCCATCCACGTGGGGTCCCTGCATGGCAGCAGTGCTGAGAGTCTCAGCTGCCAAGCGCCCCCAGGTGATGAGAAATGGGCTAGGCACCTGCCCTGTCGGTGCTGCCCTAGCCATGGACGGTGTTTGTGATCCTGCCTGTTGTGGGTTGAATTATGTCCTCCCTATAAAAGATACGTTGAAGTCTTAAGCCCCGGTACTTGTGAATGTGACCTTATTTGGAAATAGGGTCTTTGCAGATGTTATCAAGTTAAGATGCAGTCATTAGGGTGGACGCTAATCCAATGACTAGTGTGCTTATATGAAGGGGAAACAGACACAGGTACACAGGGAGAAGGCCGTGTGACAGGGGGGCAGAGACAGAGTGACACAGCTGCAAGCCGAGGAGTGCCAGGTACTGCCAGGAGACACCAGAAGCCGGAGGAAGCAAGGACGTATCTCTCCTACAGGGCTCAGAGACGTGTGGCCCTGCTGGCACTTGACTTTGGACAATGGGTCCCTGTTGCTCTAGGCCACCCAGTCTGCGGCACTGTATTACTCAGCCCTGGGTGGCTGACTCACTGGCTTTGCCCTGGGCATCCCTGTGGGCTGCTGTGCACGTCTGACTAGGCCAGGACGCCTGTGGGGCCGCTGGTCTTACCTCTGGGGGCCGGGCATGGCCCCCTCCTGGGCCTGCTGCTCTGGCTGGGGCTCCATGGGCAGGTTCAGCTCCAGGACGTAGTGCATCTGGGTGAGCAGGGCCAGGAGGAGCTCGGGGTAGGCCTCCTGCACGGCCACCTTGAACTCTCGGGCGAACTGCAGCTTGTGTAGCGTGTTCATGGCCTGTTGGGGGCAGGAGGGGCCAGGAGTGCTGACCCACTGTCTGCAAAACCCGCATCCAACCGAGCCTCTCCTTCCCTGCTCAAAAGCTTCCAGGACCAAGGCTGAGTGTCCAGACGTTGTCCCTCCCTTCCACCTCTGCAGCCTCAGCCCAGCCCTCTCTGGACCCACCACGCTGGTCTCCCTGTTGCTGGCAGCCTGGTGCCCCTGGCCTCCTCCCTGCATCCCCGCAGACCTCCCACCACGACCCCAGGGACGCCTCCCTGACCCACCAGTTTCCCCAATGCCTTCTGTGCTCTGCACTTAGTTACTGTCTGAGGTGTCACCCTGAAGGCAGGTTCCAGCTGCTGTGGGTCCTGCTGTGTCACACAGCAGGGGCCTTGTGTGTGAGTGCACTGACAACAGTCCCTAGGCCTGGAGGCCTGCCATGCCTGAAGAGGCATTTAGTCCAGAATGTTCTCAGAATGCGGGAATAGCACTTGCCAGTGATGACAAGGGGAGGGCAGGAGCCAGGAGCACAGTGTGATTTTGGGGAGGTGGGGCTGACCCCATGCTACTGGGTGGTCTCCTGACAGGGGGTGCTCTCTGCTTGGGGTCTGGCATCAGCCCAGGGTGGAGGCATTGGGGGAGGGGCTGAGTGCCAGGTAAAGAGGGAGCACCTGGGCTCATGGGGGAAGCTGGAGGTGGGGTTCCTACGTGCAGGTGGGGGCTAGGAGGCTTTGAGTCTTTTCACCCCCTTCCCTCTGCCTGAACCCGGCCCCTGGAGCCTGTCCTCTCCAAGGCTGTCCTGCACCAGTCCTGGCACACAGCAGATGACTGAGTCACCTTCTAGCCCTTCAGGGCTGATGTACTGTCCTGATTTACAGAGAAGGGCCCAGAGCCCTTGGCCAGGTCGTGGGGAGCCGGGCTGGGATCCAGGGCCTGGGCGGTCAGCCCCAAGCTGGGGCCTCTTTCCTCCAGGTGGGGTTGGGCTGGGCTTCCGCAGCCTGGAAATGGCCGTCCCCCCTCCCCTGGCACATAGTGGGAACTTGACCAAATGCACTCAGGAAGCCAGGACTGGCCTGGGGTCCAGGGGTGGTTCTGGAGACTCACGGCCAGCGAGCGCAGGTAGGTCTTCTCCTTGGGGTGGGGGCTGCCATCACTGGCCCCAGCGGGCAGGGGCCGCTCCTGCAGCCAGGCCAGCAGCATGGACAGCACCAGGTGGCTCACAGGTTGCTCGGCCCCCAGGGCTCTCCATAGCCGGAAGGCGTGGCTGTGGGCAGGGAGGGCCGTGAGTGCAGTGCTGCAACTTGGCCGCCGTGACCAGGGCCTGGGAGCCCTCCCAGGGGAAGGCCAGGGGGTGGATGAGAGTGTGGTGGGTGGAGGGGAAGGGCACGAGGGTGGGGCAGGATGGGAGTGGGCCAGCTACCCTGGTCCCTGCTCCTGGTCTCTCGTCCACACCGGCCTCTTCCTGGGTCTTCCCTCCATGACTCTCTGCACCAAGCTGGAGTTTTCCTACTCTGTCCCTGTCTCCTCACTGCTTGTCACCTTCCATGGCTCTCAAGTGCTGCAGGACAGAGCCCTAGCTGGCACTCAGAGCTATCACTCTGACCCCTTGGCTCTGACCTCCAGCCCTGCCTGCCTTCCCCTTCCTCTCCTGCCTCTGGCCTCCTGCGTGCTGGCCTTTGTGCTTGGAGCACTCTTCGTCCCCTGGCTGAACCCCATTCAGTCTTCAGGGCTCACCATGAAGCCACCTCCTTGACTACTTCCTCCTAATTCTGGGCTTGCTGAGGTCCAGCTCTCTCAGACCCAACCTGATTCAAATCAGGGGTAACCACTAGTATGTGCACAGAGCTTCACAGTTTATACAGTGTCCTTGTGTCCCTTTTGCAGATGGGGAGACTAAGGGCTGGAGAGAGAGGCTTGCCCTGATTGAGGCCCTGCCTTGTAGCCAGGTAGTGGGGACTGGAGAGCAGGCCTTCCCGGTCCTATTGCCTTTCCACCTGGTTCAATGGCATGACCCTGTGTGGCCTGGGGGAGGGACAGGACATCAGGGTGGCCTGAGATGTCAGTGACCATGATAGCCCTCTGTTTTCTGCCCTAAACGGTCTTTCGGTCTGAATGTTGGGTGGAAGGGGCTCGAGGGGTAGGAGGGGCCCTGGGGTGAGGAGGCAGGGGTTGGGGTGGCTGAGTGAGCTCCCACTCCCAGCTTTAAAACAGACCCAAGGGGCCCACTCTTGAGGCCCTGGAGAAGCCACTTCAGTCCTGTTTGACCCTTGGCTGGGTGGACACAACAGCTCAGAGGACTGCAGGAGATTCTAAAGTATAGTCACCATTCACCTGGAAATAGTGGGCTCTGGAGTCAGAGGGGCCTGGGCTCAAAGCCCTGCTCTGTCCCATGCTGGCTGTGTGACCTTAGGCCAGTCACTTAACCCCTCTGGGCCTCAGATTCCCGACTGCAGAATTGGGGGGCAATGCCTGCCTCAAGAGGCTTAAGGGAGAGGATTCTCCACAGGAGCATGAGTGCCCAGAGGGTGACTGTCTCTACCGTGCTCCCTGTGAATATCTGTCACTCAGCTGGCACCTGTGTGCTGAGCACTGTCATGTGCAGACAATGTCCCAGGAGACCAAATGGTGGCAGGATCAGAAAAAAACCCTGGCCTCATGGAAGAGACAGCCGAGAGGGGGACATGGGCAGCAGACATGGGAATGTCAGATGCTAAGTGCTGCCAACAAGAATGCAGCAGGGGAGGGGAAGAGTGGGCAGGGGGAACGTGTTTGGAGTGCTTTCACTTTTAAATAGGGCAGCTGGGGATGCCTTTCTAAGTAGGGGACACTTGGGCAAAGACCTGAGGATGTAAGGAGACAGCCACACAGCTGTGTGTGTGTGGGAAACTCCTGGACAGAGAGCGCTGAGACAGTTGCATTCTTGGCGTGTTCAAGGGACAGAAAGGCCAGTATCACTGGGGTGGAGTGGGTGTGGGGGAGAGGAGAGGAGGACAGTGGGATTGTGGCACCCACGTCATGACCTTGTGAGC